GAGTAGAGTAGAGTAGAGTAGAGTAGAGTAGAAAGAGTGGAGTGGAGTAGAGTAGAGTAGAGTAGAGTAGAGTAGAGTAGAAAGAGTGGAGTAGAGTGGAGTGGAGTAGAGAGAATGGAATGGAATGGAATGGAACACAACACAATACAATAGAACAGAATACAACAGAACAGAACAGAATAGGAAATAGGACAGGACAGGACAGGACAGGAATAGAATAGAATAGAATAGAATAACAGAGTTGGAAGGGACTTTGGAGGTCTTCTAGTCCAACCCCCTGCTTCGCCAGGAAAACCTACACCCATGATGGCGAACCTATGGAGCCATTTGTACTGGCACACGAGCCGCAGACAAACTTACCTCACTGCGTATGCGCACGCCTCACAGCTGATTTTTTTCCCCCTGGTTGGTTTGAGGCCTTTCTTGGCCTCCCAGAGACTTGGAAAAAGCCTCTGCAAGCATTCTCAGGCCGAATTATAGGCCCATTTCATCATTTCCTGTAATACCGGAAGTGACTAAACAGGCCTATAATTCGGCCTGAGAAGCGTTGCAGAGGCTTTTTCCAAGCCTCTGGGAGGCCGAAAAAGGCCTCAAACCAGCCGAAAAATCAGCTATGAGGCACAGTGCAGGTAAAGGGGTGGGGTGGGGATTGCGTGTGCATGTGCAGGGGGCGTGGGAAGGGGGGGCGCATTGCATTCTGGGTGCTGGCATGCGAGTGCGGACACGCTGGTGCACTCGCAGTTTTTGGCACAGGGTCCCAAAAAGATTAGCCCCCACTGACCTACACCAATAGTTATCCAATGCCTTCTTAAAAACTTCCAGGGCTTGGAGCATTCACAACTTCTGGAGTCAGGCAGTTCCACTGGTTAATTGTTCTCACCGTCAGGAAATTTCTCCTTAGTTCGAGGTTGCTTCTCTCCTTGATTAGTTTCCACCCATTGTTTCTTGTCTTGCCCTCTGGTGCTTTGGAGAATAGCTTGACTCCCTCTTCTTTGGGCGGCAGCCCCTGAGATATTGGAAGACTGCTATCATGTCACCCCGGTCCTTCTTTTCATCAGACTAGACATACCCAATTCCAGCAACCGTTCTTCATATGTTTTAGCCTCCAGTCCCCTTATCATCTTTGTTGCTCTTCTCTGCACTCTTACCAGAGTCTCAACATCTTTTTTACATCGTGGCGACCAAAACTGAATGCAGGATTCCAAGAGTGGCCTTACCAAGGCATTATAAAGTGATATTAACACTTCACGTGATCTTGATTCTCTCCCTCTGTTTATGCAGCCTAGAACTGTGTTGGCTTTTTTGGCAGCTGCTGTACACGGCTGGCTCATATTTAAATGGTTGTCCACTAGGACTCCGAGATCCCTCTCACAGTTACTACAATTGAGAAAAGTACCACCTATACTGTGCCTGTGCATTTGGTTTTTCTTCCCCTAAATGTAGAACCTTACTTTTTTCACCACTAATTTTCGTTTTGTTACATAGCGCCCAGTGTTCAAGTCTGTCAAGATCCTTCTGTATCTTAAGCCTATCTTCTGGAGTGTTGGCCATTCCTGCCATCTTGGTGTCATCTACAAATTTGATGAGTTCCCCATCTATCCAGTGGTGGGATTAAAAATTTTTACGACTGATTTTGTGGGTGTGGCTTGGTGGGCGTAGCAGGGAAAGGATGCTGTAAAATCCCCATTCCCACCCCACTCCTGGAGGAAGGTTACTGCAAAATCCTCATTCCCTCCCCACCCCACTAACCTGCTTTCCAGCTCTGTTCTCCTGTGCAGGGCAACCAAAGAAGACCCAGCCAATCAGCTGGGACTTGGGAGGCAGAGAATAGATGTGGGCGGGGCCAGTCAGAGATGGTATTTGCTGGTTCTCCACACTACTCAAATTTTCCACTACTGGTTCTCCAGAACTGGTCAGAACCTGCTGAATACCATTCCTGCATTTATCCCCTTGTCCAGATCATCGATGAAGATGTTGAAGAGTCCTGGGCCTTAAACAGAGCTCCATGTGGATCAGAGGTGGTATTCAGCAGGTTCTGACCAGTTCTGGAGAACCGGTAGTGGAAATTTTGAGTAGTTCAGAGAACCAGCAAATCCCACCCCTGACTGGAGATTTTACAATATCCTTCCCCTGCCATGCCCACCAAGCCACACCCACAGAACTGGTAGTAAAAAAAATTGAATCCCACCTCTGATGTCAGGGGTTGGATTCAAATTTTTAACAACTGGTTCTGTGGGCGTGGCTTAGTTGGTGGGTGTAGCTTGGTGGTCATGTGACTGGCTGGGCGTGGCCAACTCAATAGCACTCACATCGAGGCATGCATCTCCTCACCTGGCCTCTCATGACTGTGGGGACGCTGCAACAGTCGTAAATGTGAAAAATGGTCATAAGTCACTTTTTTCAGTGCCATTGTAACTTTGAATGGTCACTCCACACAAAAAGTACCAGCAAAGGAGGGGAAAAAAACTCCAGAGAGGTTCCTGAGACAGGAAGTCTAGTCCTGCCAAGAACGTAATAAGGGTTAACGGAGAGGCAGTTTCTTTAAGCAACACCAGAATGTTTCCTTCCTTACAGGATTAGGTCAGTTATTTCTTCTAACAGCTGGTTCTCCGAACTGCTTAGAATGTTAACAACCGGTTCTAGCAAATAGGTGCGACCTGGTAGAATCCCACCCCTGACTGATGTGGATGCAATTCCATTGTGGGTTACGTTGCAAGGACTTGCAACATTCCCTCCTTGGGTATGCGTTGCAAACTGGTCAAGCAAAAGAGAAATTTAGGGCACAACAGCAAAATTCTTAAAGGAAAAGATATGTTTAAATCAAAAGAGATTTCTGTCCTTCCTTAAGACTTTTTCCCCCATTTCTCTGTAAGGGGGAATATTCTATCCTGCCTTTATAATATTCCCCCAAAATATATCATTTTCTAGGACGGTGGGGGCTGACTTTCTACACAGGGACAGCTCTGGATTTTTATCACCTGAACTGCAGGGACACTGCGATGGCCAGAACTTTGAGGCCCAGTCATACGTTCATTGTTTTCAGCGCAATTGTATCTTTGAACGTTGCTGCTAAACGAATGGGCACAACTCAAGTTCTTACCTGGATAGCCCGTTCTTATCGAGGAATCTACAAAGATGGGTCAAAAGAGTCAAGATGGCGGCTGCAACTGCCCAATGCTTGCGTAGAAAGAGGGCTGGGCTTCGTTCACACAGTTGCAACCTCCATCTTGACTCTTTTGACCTCTTCCACCCATTGATCCTCTTGGTTCTTACCCAATAGGATGATAGGTTTTAAGCAGTTTATCATCTTTTTGGATAAGCGAGCAGAAGACCTGGGTTCTATTTGCTTACAAGCAAATATATATTAATGAATAGAATTAGAATTAAAGAATAGAATAGAAATGCAGAAAATAATAGAATAGAATAGAATATGGAATAGAACAGGCAATAGAATAAGAATAGAATAGCGTAGTGTAGCGTAGCATAGCGTAGAGAGAAGAGAAGAGAAGAGAAGAGAAGAGAAGAGAAGAGAAGAGAAGATGCTAGACTAGAATAGGTGGAAGGGACCTTAGAGGTCTTCTAGTCCAGGCCCCTGATCAAGCAGGAGAACCTACACCATTTCAGATAAGTGACTGTCTACTCTCTTCTTAAAAAGAGGTCTTGAACAGCATGGTTGAACTCCTTTCTGATTTTGCCATTTTGAGTGATTTTAATATTTGGTTAATCAGAGGAGAGTCCACAGCCTCCAAAAGTGATTTATAAATGTCATTCAACTGGCCAGCACTTGTTCCAGGCCAATTGCCTTCTCCTCCTTTATAGACCTTCAGCGATGTCTTCAGTTATTCGGAAAGAAGAAGGAGCAGCAGCTCCCGGGGCTCTGGAAGTAGAGAAGATCATTACAACAAAAGCTCCTTTTTCCTTCACTCCACCTCCAGAGGTAAAGTGGTCCCACTCTGAATAACGGCGTCCCTTTATGACGAGTCCTTGTTGTTTAACGAGGGTAACTGGGACCGGGAATGCCACCGTGAAGCGACACGGTTATAAGGAACCCCAAACAAATATTACACGATTGCTTCACTTGGCAATCCCAGTTCCAGCGATTGTGCCTTTTTCTCCTACCCAAGTTGTGTGGTGAGCTGAAAGCTCCGTTTTCGGCCGCGGTAAGCCCCCGTTCCATTTGTCTTTTGTTTTAGTAATGAAACTTAGACCGATCTTGTATCCGGCTGTTTTCTTGGACTGTGGGAGAATAAGCTCTCAGCCAAATCTTTGTACCAGGAGAGCATTGACAAGCAAGAGCCAGTTTAGTCTTGGGGTGAAGGCACCTGGCTAGAATTCAGACTAGTCCAGCTTTAGGTATGCCAGGTGACTTTGGGACAATCACCAGGAGGTGTTGAGTTCTAGTCCTACCTTAGGCAAGAAACTGACCAGGTGACTTTGAGCCAATCACCAGGAGGCAGCAAGTTCTAGTCCTGCCTTAGGCATGAAAGCTGACTTTGAGCCAATTAT